TCATATACTCTGATGTATGTGGTCCAATCCAGGTGGATTCGATTGGTGGCAATAGATACTTTGTCACGTTTATAGATGATTATAGTCGAAAGTTGTGGACTTACCTCATCAAGAAGAAAAGAGATGTGATTGAGGTATTTTACAGATTCAAGTCCATGGTCGAAAGACAGAGTGGTCGAAAGCTGAAAATTCTGAGGACTGATGGTGGTGGAGAGTATGTGTCGAAAGAGTTCGATACACTATGTGTAAAAGAAGGGATTGTGCATGAGGTGGTGCCACCTTACACTCCACAGCAAAATGGGATTGCAGAACGCAAGAACAGAACCATCATGAATATGGTGAGAAGTATGTTGAATGGAAAGCATCTACCTAAAGAATTATGGGGGGAAGCAGTTTCGACAGCAACATATATATTGAACAGATGTCTGACGAAGAAGCTTGAAGGAATCACACCAGAAGAATGTTGGTCTGGTGTCAAGCCTAGTCTCAGTCACTTGAAGGTGTTTGGATCTATAGCACATAGACATGTGCCAGATCAGTTGAGAAGGAAGCTTGATGATAAGTCGAATCAGATGATCTTGATAGGATATCATTCGATAGGAGGTTACAAGCTGTTCGACCCAGTGAGTAAGCAGGTAGTGATCAGCAGGGACGTGATCATAGATGAGCTTAAAGAATGGGATTGGACTGAGAATGACAAGAAGGATTCAGTGAGAATCTCTTGTGAAGAACCAACCACTGAAGTCGAAATAGAAGTTTAACAGGAACCAGTTGCAGATGAAGCAGGTTCAAGCAGACCTCGACGAACAAGACACATGCCTGCAAGGTTGCAAGAATGTGTAATTACATCAGATGATGTAGTCGATGAAGAGGGTGAGTTGGTACATTATGCTTTCTATGCAGATGTCGAACCAGTCAATGCAGCTGAGGCATTGAAAGATTCGAAGTGGATGAAAGCAATGATTGAAGAGTTGGAGTCAATCGAACCAGTCAATGCAGCTGAGCCCAGATTGCAACTGTCGAAGGATTCAGATGAAGATGATGTCGACCCAACCCAATTCAGAAGACTAAGGGCCATAATGAATGTAGACAGTTTAGACACAATGAATTAGGTGGTGTGTTAAATATAATTCATTGTGATTTGATATGATTAGATTTGATATCATATGATTAGATTTGATATCATATGATTAATTTTATATGATATGATTAGATATCATATGATTATATTTGATATCATATGATTAGATTTGATTTAGAATATTTTGGGCCTTTTATGTTTTGGGCTAGTGTAAACCTAAAACTATAAATAGGGTGCCTTGCTTTGTATTCTACATCACAACAGAACAGATTTCGCAGTTGCAGTTAGCAAGTGAAAGTTCAATAAGAAATCCCACAGTTGTGGGTAACACATTCTCTCCAAATACTTCTTCTCTCATTCTTCTCTTTCTTGTTTGTTATTCTTCTTCTCTTTTGTTGTTCTTGATAATTACTTGTTATTACCATCATTATCATATTATGGGTTTGTTCATCAATATTGAGATCAAGATTGAAGGGAATTCTTCATAGGGTGTGAGGTGAATTTCCAACAATTTCCCCAAGAAAAAACTACTTGAATAAAGGACAGAGTTAATACAGACCAAGCTAAAGATATGAAGCATAACAAAAATGTTGTTCTTTAATTCTAATTTTTTTATTTTTTATTATCTTACTTATTTTATATATATATATATATATATATATATATATATATATATATATATATATATATATATATATATATATATATATATATATATATATATATATATATATATATATATATATATATATATATATATATATATATATATATATATATATATATATATATATATATATATATATATATATATATATATATGATTTATTATATATATTATTTATTATCCAATTTTTTTTATTATACTTTTATATTCAAAATGAAATATAAAAGAAAAAAGAAATCTGGTCTAACTTGACAAAAGGAAATATATCTATAGAATAATAAATGGGACGTGGCCAAGCGGTAAGGAAGCGGGTTTTGCTCCCGTTATTCGGAGGTTCGAATCCTTCCGTCTCAGATGATATCGATTCAATTCATCACATTGACATGAATCGATAGCATAGGTTTTTCGCCATAAACCATAAATAAAAAAGGTTGTTCTTGGGGATATATTGTTCATCCATATAACTTTAATTACTTATTAATTAAATAAATTAATATACTAATTAAAATTAAATTTGATAACTATTTGAATTTGATAAAAAACAATGACTATTTAAAGTTTTTCACATCCATTTGAAATAGCTTAAAGTTTTTCGCACACGCGAAGGCAAGAAAAAGGCGTATAGCCTCAAGTCGGGCAGCCGGCACATAAGTTTACTCATAGTCGATGCCTTCCTCTTGGTTATAGCAATCCGTTGTACGCATTTTTGTACCGAGGATTCGAATCCCTCTCTTTCCGTTTATTGATGATTTTCTATTTTTTTCTTTTGAACTTATGGAATTTCTTTTTTTATTTATTTATTCCTTGTTTGTTTCATTTTTTACTAGTTCTTTTTGACTATTTAAAGATCTAAAATAGATAGAAAAACAAAAAATAGTTCAAAATCAAGCACATGTAAGGAAAAGAAAAAAGATTTTCTTATTCTTCACGTCCAGGATTACGTCCGGGATCATTAATAGAAATCCGAAGATGAAAAGAGAAACAAAGAATATCACTATCGTGTAAACAAATAGTTTTAGAGTAAGCATTATAAAATAAGATAATTAAAAAAAAAACGACAGAGAAAGAAAATAGATTCTCTTCTATTTCATATTATGTTTCCTTAAAAAAGTTCCAATTTGAGTTTTCTAATAAATTCTTACTTTTTTTTAGGACATTGTTCAAATTAAAGATCTTATTGAAAACTTACAGCAGCTTGCCAAACAAAAGCAAAGAGAAAAAAGAGTAAGGGTATTACTGGCATAAAACCTACAATTTGAGTCAAAAAAGCATAAGCTTCAGGTAATTTCCCCAAGAAAAAACTACTTGAATAAATGACAGAGTTAATACAGACCAAGCTAAAGATATGAAGCATAACAAAAATGTTGTTCTTTAATTCTAATTTTTTTATTTTTTATTATCTTACTTATTTTATATATATATATATATATATATATATATATATATATATATATATATATATATATATATATATATATATATATATATATATATATATATATATATATATATATATATATATATATATATATATATATATATATATATATATATATATATATATATATATATATATATATATATATATATATATATATATATATATATATATATATATATATATATGATATGATATGATTTATTATATATATTATTTATTATCCAATTTTTTTATTATACTTTTATATTCAAAATGAAATATAAAAGAAAAAAGAAATCTGGTCTAACTTGACAAAAGGAAATATATCTATAGAATAATAAATGGGATGTGGCGAAGTGGTAAGGCATCGGGTTTTTCTCCCGTTATTCGGAGGTTCGAACATCCATTTGAAATAGCTTAAAGTTTTTCGCACACGCGAAGGCAAGCAAAAGGCGTATAGTCTCGAGTCGGGCAGCCGGCGCATAAGTTTCCTCATAGTCGATGCCTTCCTCTTGGTTATAGCAATCCGTTGTAAGCATTTTTGTGCCGAGGGTTCGAATCCCTCTCTTTCCGTTTATTGATGATTTGCCATTTTTTTCTTTTGAACTTATGGAATTTCTTTTTTTTTATTCCCTGTTTGTTTCATTTTTTACTAGTTCTTTTTGACTATTTAAAGATCTAAAATAGATAGAAAAACAAAAAATAGTTCAAAATCAAGCACAAGTAAGGAAAAGAAAAAAGATTTTCTTATTCTTCACGTCCAGGATTACGTCCGGGATCATTAATAGAAATCCGAAGATGAAAAGAGAAACAAAGAGTATCACTATCGTGTAAACAAATAGTTTTAGAGTAAGCATTATAAAATCTCCAAGATAATTAAAAGAAAAAACGACAGAGAAAGAAAATAGATTCTCTTCTATTTCATATTATGTTTCCTTAAAAAAGTTTCAATTTGAGTTTTCTAATAAATTCTTACTTTTTTTAGGACATTGTTCAAATTAAAGATCTTATCGAAAACTTACAGCAGCTTGCCAAATAAAAGCAAAGAGAAAAAAGAGTAAGGGTATTACTGGCATAAAATCTACAATTGGAGTCAAAAAAGTATAAGCTTCAGGTAATTTCCCCAAGAAAAAACTACTTGAATAAAGGACAGAGTTAATACAATCAAGCTAAAGATATGAAGCATAACAAAAATGTTGTTCTTTAATTCTAATTTTTTTTATTTTATTATCTTACTTATTATATATATATATATATATATATATATATATATATATATATATATATATATATATATATATATATATATATATATATATATATATATATATATATATATATATATATATATATATATATATATATATATATATATATATATATATATATATATATGTATATATATATATATGATATAATATGATTTATTATATATATTATTTATTATCCACTTTTTTATTATACTTTTATATTCAAAATGAAATATAAAAGAAAAAAGAAATCTGGTCTAACTTGACAAAAGGAAATATATCTATAGAATAATAAATGGGGCGTGGCCAAGCGGTAAGGCAGCGGGTTTTGGTCTCGTTATTCAGAGGTTGAATCCTTCCGTCCCAGATGATATCGATTCAATTCATCATATTGACATGAATCGATATCATAGGTTTTTCGCCATAAACCATAAATAAAAAAGGTTGTTCTTGGGGATATATTGTTCATCCATATAACTTTAATTACTTATTAATTAAATAAATTAATATACTAATTAAAATTAAATTTGATAACTATTTGAATTCGATAAAAAACAGATATGCATAATAACTTTAAATTTGATGACTATTCATTATATACTATTTTTATGTAAAAAGGAAAAAAAATCTATGGAAAGACAAGGGTTCAATTCAATGCTGTTTACTAGAGGTTTAGAATACAGGCGTGGTTTAGGTAAATCCATAGATAGTTTTGATCCTATTGATAAAAATAACGGTGGAGACCCATCTAGTTTAATTGATATGCATAATAACATTCATAGCTAGAAGAACAATAGTGAAAATTGTAGTTATAGTCATGGTCATGCTGACTATTCAACAGATGTGAACAACATACATAATCATAATTTGCTATTCCCAAAAATTCTATCAGTTTGGGATAGTAATAATAATAGTTATGACATAGATTATGATTATAATGACATTGGACTTATAACATGAATTGTTGCATTTTGAATTATCTTCGTTCTCAAATCTGTGAGGATATTGACAAATACAATAACAATAGTACAAATAGAATAATATTAAGGCACACAAATGCTATAAATCAGACATCAGATCTAGATGATCCAGATATATCTGATGGATCAGATATCTCAGATCTATTGGAGATAGATCTATCAGATACACCAGATACCGATTATCTATACAATCCATTTGCTGATACATCTGATATATCAGATCCATTAGAGATATCTGATACATCTGATCCATCAGATACATATTATATAGATTATATAGATGGATCAGATATCTCAGATCCATTGGAGACATCAGATTTGGATTATATAAATGATCCGGATGGATCAGATAGATCAGATCCATTAGAGACATTAGATCCAAATTATATAAATGATCCAGATGGATCAGATATATCAGATCCATTGGAGACATTGGAGACATCAGATCCAGATTATATAAATGATCCGGATGGGTCAGATAGATCAGATCCATTGGAGATATATGATACATCAGATACAGATATATGTAAGAAGGATAGTCATGATAATAGCAAAATTGATATGCTGGCTAAAATGAACCAATATAGTCATTTATGGGTTCTATGCGAAACTTGCTCTGGCTTAAATTTTAAACAATTTTTAGTAGCCAAAATGAGTATTTACGAATACTGTGGCGAGCATCTGAAAATGATAAGTTCAGATAGAATCGAACTTTTGATTGATCCAGGTACTTGGAATCTTATGGATGAAGACATGGTTTCTCTGGATCCCATTAAAAAATTTGATTCGATTGAAAAAATTCCAATTCTTCAATGGGATCCCATTGCATTCGACTTGATTTTCGTGGATCCTCCCGAGGAATAGGAAGAGGAAGAAGATCAACCTTATATCGATCGTCTTGATTATTATCAAGAAAAGACAGGATTATCAGAAGCGGTTCAAACAGGCATAGGTCAACTAAATGGTATTCCTTTAGCAATAGCTGTTATGGATTCTGAGTTTATCGCGGGTAGTATGGGATCTGTAGTGGGTGAGAAAATAACTCGGTTGATCGAATATGCTACCAATCAACTTTTACCTCTAATTATAGTCTGCGCTTCCGGAGGAGCGTGTATGCAAGAAGTTTGAGCTTAATGCAAATGGCTAAAATTTCTTCTGCGTTATATAATTATCAAATCAATAAAAAGTTATTCTATGTAGCGATACTTACATCTCCGACTACTGGTAGGGTAACCGCTAGTTTTACGATGTTGGGGGATATCGTTATTGCGGAACCAAACGCAACCATTGCATTTGCGGGTAAAAGAGTGATTGAACAATTGTTGAATGTAGAAGTGCCTGAAGGTTCCTAATTGGCGGACCTTTAATTCGAAAAGGGAGTATTGGATTCAGTCGTACCACGTCATTTTTTAAAGCAATTTTTAACGGGGTTATTTCAGTTCCATGGTTTTGTTCCTTTGACGAAAAATGAAGAACTGGAATAGATTGATTTTTAAAAATTTGGAAGATTGGAAAATTGTAACTAATTGGGACCATAAATGTCTGCCACATATAACATAAAATTGTAACTAATTGGGACCGTAAATGTCTGTCACATATAACATATAAATGAAGATTGGAAAATTGTAACTAATTGGGACCGTAAATGTCTGTCACATATAACATATAAATGAAGATTGGAACATTGTAACACATTGGGACCGTAAATGTCTTTGACATTTAAATAAATAAATAAATAACTATGTTAAAGAACATAAAAAGATTTATAAAAAACCTTCCCCTTTGGATCTGGAAAAAAGGGAACATTGTAACTCATTGGGACCATAAATGTCTGTCACATATAACATATAAATGAAGATTGGAACATTCTAACTCATTGGGGCCGTAAATGTCTTTGACATTTAAATAAAAAAACTATGTTAAAGAACATAAAAAGATTTATAAAAACCCTTCCCCTTTGGATCTGGAAAAAAGGGAACATTGTAACTCATTGGGACCATAAATGTCTGTCACATATAACATATAAATGAAGATTGGAACATTGTAACTCATTGGGACCGTAAATGTCTTTGACATTTAAATAAATAAATAAATAAAATAAAAAACGATGTTAAAGAACATAAAAAGATTTATAAAAAACCTCACCCTTTGGATTTGGAAAAAAGGGAACATTGTGATTATTTTCATAACGCATGTTTTTATGCATGGAACTTACCTTTTTATGTATATTAAATACAATCATTCTTCTCCTGCACACAACCCCATATAAGACAAACATCGTGTTTGATTTATTAATGTTCTATTTTGGGGCTTTCCTTTTTCGGAAAATATTTTTCATTTTATTTTTTTATTTCGTTAGAACAATTTTGAATTATTTACTTCAAATCGTCCTTGAATGCATTAACGACGAGACAAAGAAAAAAGTTTTGTGTTCCTATGTGTCAGAAAATACTTGGATGGACACTATCCCGGGTTGCCAACATGTGACTTTTAGAATCTTAAGTCATGTGAGTTTTTTCATGGCATTCTTTGCTCTCTATCGTTTCTATAGCAATCTTACTCGGATGAACATTTTGGATGCATCGATTACATGAATCTTTGTGGCACCAAATAAGATTATTTATTTGCTTGTCACTGCAATTTTAAGTATCCTAAGCGGTATCACATTTCAATATATTAATTATTGCACTGTAACTAGCGGAACTAATTTTTTCGATAAAGAAGAAGGAGTGCTATATATTACTCGTTACGGACTTCCTATTCCTGGAATAAGTCGCTCTAATGTTCGCTGCATTTTAATAAAAGAAATTTCGTGCCTTATACTAGTAACTCACCGAATCTGGGGTGATGTCCTTTATATTGAAACCAGAAAACACGGGACCTTGCCGATGACTCCTACTAAAGATGGTCGTAGATACAGGATTACAAAACATGGTTTGGAGTTGTCCAAATTCTTGAATATGCCATTGGAAATTAGTTACGAAGAATACTAATAAAAAAGTGAGTTTAGCCGATCGAGTTTAGCCGATAAAGCGAGTTTAGCCTATAATATATTAATTATTATCGACTAAACTCACTTTTTTATTAGTATTTACTTGTAATAGAACTTATGCTTGATAGAAATATTATAATATATAGAATATATTAGAGTTGAAAAATGAGATGAAACTGAGGACAAAAAATGGCAAAAAAAGAAAGCATTCATTCCCCTTCTATGTCTTACATCTATAGTCTTTTTGCCCTGGTGCATCTCTTTTACATTTAAGAAAAGTCTGGAATCTTGGATTACTAATTGGTGGAATACGAAAGAATCCGAAATTTTCTTGAATAGTATTCAATAAAAAGTATTGTAAAGAAATTCCTAGATTCGAGGAACTGTTCTTCTTGGATGAAATGCTAAAGGAATACCTAGAAACACATTTACAAAACCTTCGAATCGAAATCTACAAAGTGACCATCCAATTGATTCAGACGAACAACGAAGATCATATCCATACGATTTTTCATTTCTTTACAAATATAATACGTTTCCTTATTCTAAGTGTTTATTCTATTAGGGGTAATCAAGAACTCAATATTCTTAACTCTTGGGTTCAAGAATTTCTATATAACTTAAGTTACACAATAAAAGCCTTTTCTATTCTTTTCTTAATTGATTTCTCTGTAGGATACCATTCGAATGGTCTTTGGGAACTAATGATTTGGTCTGTCTATAAATATTTTGGATTTACTCTGAATGATCATATTATATCTTTTCTTGTTTCTATTTTGCCAACCATTTTAAATATTATTTTAAAATATTGGATTTTCCGTTATTTAAATTGTGTATCTTCATCGCTTTTATCGATTTATGATATGAATTCCATTCCGTGAATGATTGGAAAAACGACCCACTGATCAAATTCTAAAATTTGTGTTTTTATATAAAAGCTAAACATTCCAAATTTCACTTATTCATTTTTGTTTTACTCGTATTCTTCATATATTATAGGAAAAATACATGGAGTAAATAGCAGAATCATGGATAGGGAACTGGAACAGTTCCCTACCTAATCTTATTGTAGAAATTTTCAGGATCAAGGAATGGACCATGCAAACTGTTGCACCCCAAAATTTGCCCAACCTTTTTCTTTAGTTGACTTTTGTTTCTTTGCATTGTCATAGCATTTGCATTTCATATCATTGTTCATTGTGCAGGGGATTGAGAGAGTTGTTCTTAGCAAAGGAATCTATCAAGGGTCTATACCTAATCAAGAGGTTGTATTCAAGATATCAAGTGCTTATCATCATCAGAGGAATGGCAAAGCTCATTGCAGAAGTGGGTGATTAAGATTGGTGTACCTCCTATCTTGGGGGTCAATGAAGGTCATCTGAAGGCTGTGAATCCATGGTTATGGGTGGAAAACATGTTGAGAGCTTATTGAATACCTTGAGGGTCATTTTTGAGCTTGTGCAAGTCATTATACAAAGAGAAAGAAGCCACAGTCAAGAATTGTGCAATTAGGGTTTGTCAGCTGGTCAATCCTTGGTGATTTGAGGACTTGAAGGAGGTTAAAGCTCAATTCCAAAGCATGGTGGTCATGGAATGTTGTGTTGAGGCATTTGAAATATTATTCCAAGATCAAATCAAGAAGAAACAAAAGTGTGAGGAGTTACTAAATTAGGGTTCCTAGTGTAAAATCCCCTGTTTTTAGCCTAACTTCAAGACCACATATCTCAAGATACAAGCTTCATCTCATCTTGACAAGGTCATTAAACTTATAGGGAATGTTCTTAGCTTTCTTTTGAGTACTAGAACTCCTTAATCTGATTTTTAGAACTCAAGTTATGAAGCAGACAAGTTACAGGTCCTCAAATGAATGTGATTTTGGTCAAATAAAGTTAACCAACTTCCAAGGCACTTTTGACCTAGAAGGAAGTTTCTCCTAAACTTCAAGTGAACATGAAAGTTGTTCCTCATGATCTTAGCTTTCTAAAAAGTCCTAGAAGTCCTCTTTCTGATTTGTAGAACTCAAGTTATGAGCTTGGCAAGGCAGGGGTATTTTGGGAAAGTGAGATTATAGGTCATAAAATTATAGGTCCATTTCACCATCCTGCACACTTCAAATGGAAAAGTCTCCAACATGAAACTTGCTCCAAATTGGGTCATTTGTTCAACCAAACATTAAGAAGTCATGGATTTGGCTTGGAATGAAGAATTGGTGTGTGACTTTTTTATGAAGAAAGCTTAAAATGGGAAAAGTGGAATTAATTCATTTGGAACCATTTCAAGGCAGCTTTGTGCATATTTTGAGTGCAAATGATGTTCTAAACACAATTCTAATATTGAATTTGCAATTTGAGCTCATTTGGATGGCCATTTCCATGGTTTCTTCACCATGAAGTAACAAATGTGAAATTCACCATAGGATCAAAATAAGGGTTAATTGATAGCCATTTGATCAATTCAGACCATGTGCAAGTGATTAGAAGCAAGTAAGAAGCATGTGCAGTGCATAATTCGTGGGTTTGACAAGCAAAAAAGTGGAGAAAAATTGAAATTCCATTTTCACAAATTGGCCACAATTGGGCCTCAATAAGTTGCTATATCCATCATATATAAGCATTAGGTCATTTCTGGATGAAAAGAGGATCATTTTCGTGAAGATTGGCAGAGAACACATTGTGATAAAGGGAGAGCAAGGTGAAACACGATTTTGGAGCTTCAGCCATTTTCAGACCAAATTGAGCATTCAAACATCTTCAGGGAGGTTCATTGAGTGATTCTGGAGAGTTTCAGCAAGCTTAAGCATCAATTGAAGGCTCAGTGGAAGTTCTCCACTAGGTATCTTCAATTCAACTGATCTCACTGTTTATTCCATGAT